TTCTTCCTTCCTGCATAGAATTTTTTTTTTTTTTTTTTTTTTAAATACAGAACATAAGTTTCATTAGTAATATTTTCTGCAATTGATGTGCATTAAATTTTTTATCTACAACTTTCGATACTGCTACTGGAATATAAGAATTTTCCATAATCATTTATATGTGATTCTGAAGATTTTCTGGTAAAATTAATGCAATGTCATTGGAATATTAGTTCATAATATAAAATGCAAACAAAACACATGAAGTCTTATTCCGCTCACAGGGTTGTTTTGAAGGGAGACACGGTTGAAATGAATGCAAATGCTCTAGGGTTGACCATGGAGAGCAATGGAATAAGAATTTTGGAGCCATTTGATACCTCTGTTAAATTTTCTAATGCTTCTGGAAAGACAAACATACAGTTGGCTGTCTCAGACATATTCATCAATTTTTCATTCAGTATCTTGAGACTGTTTTTAGCGGTTGAAGAGGATATTCTGTCATTTTTGAGGATGAGAACAGAGAAAATGACTGTTTTGTGCTCTGAGTTCGATAGAGTTGGAACTATCAAAAGTAAGTTTTGATACACTTAATGGCCAATCTACCCTATCATCACTATGAATCTTCGGAATTTGATGCAATGAACCATTTCCTGATTTCTGTTTCTGATAGATCCTGACAATGGCCAAATATATGCATTTTGGAGACCTCGGGCTCCAACTGGTTTTGCTGTACTTGGTGACTACTTGACGCCAATGTTCGTATCTTTCTCTTTTGTCCATTATCAATGAGTTTTTTGGGTTGTCCTGATAATATTTGAGTCCTCATTTGACAGTGACAAGCCACCAACAAAAGGAGTAATTGCTGTTAATACCAGCTTTATGAGAGTGAAGAGACCTAAATCTTTCACTTTAGTTTGGCCCCCTTCATCATCTGATGGATTGGTGGCTGCAGATAAAACTGGGGTTGAAGGAGATGGAATCTGTTCGATTTGGTTCCCTGAAGCCCCAAAGGGTTATGTGGCATTGGGCTGTGTGGTTTCTCCAGGAAGGAAAGAGCCACCAATTTCTTCAGTGTTCTGCATCTTGGCAACGTTGGTTTCTCCATGTGGCCTTAGAGATTGTATTAGTATTGACTCAAGCAGTCGGTATGTATATCATTTTCATTCTTTAATCTGCTTTATGAGGATAAATAATTTTGAAAGTTTATGCATTTATTTTTCTGCCTAATATGGAATAATGGAAATTAAGAGATCATGTTTAGTTGCTTGTCAATATATTGACATGCAAATGGATTGAGTCTGAACGTGATCACACCTCACTTGGGATATGTGTTTAATGGCCTTCTAGAATTTTCTAATTCAGCGAACCGCTACTCTATCATCAAATGGTGTTATTCCAGTTGCAAACTTGTCCTTCCCTTCCTGAGTCATTTATTTAATTAATTGTTTTTTTTTTATTCTGCAGTAAGTAAAAGGATCTATTATTTATATTTTTATTATTATTTTTTTATATTAGACTTTCCAATTTGGCATTTTGGCGAGTCGAAAATGCTGTTGGTACATTCTTGCCTGCTGATCCAATCACTTTGAGCCTGACTCAGAAAGCATATGAATTGCGACGTATATATTTTGGATTTCCTGAAATTTCTCCAGAAAAACTTAAGAGTTCAAAGATCGAGGGATTTCCTTCTGGTGTTGATTATAGCACACAAACAGAAAGGTCATCAATTGTAAATTCCAGGCGTTTTGAAACAGTTGCTAGTTTCCATTTAATCTGGTGGAATCAAGGTTGGGGATCAAGAAAGAAATTATCCATATGGCGTCCTGTAATCCCTCAAGGGATGGTATACTTTGGAGATATTGCAGTTCAAGGGTATGGAAAACTTTGGTCTTCGTAACTCAAATCTTTCTTTTTTCTTTTTTTTTTATAATGTTGCAAAGGGTGGGTATGCTTACTCTTTTACTTGGTTTTTCCAGGTACGAGACTCCTGATACATGCATTGTTCTTCACGATTCAGAAGATTCTAAGCTGTATAAAGCTCCTTTAGATTTTCAACGTGTAGGACATATAAAGAAACATAGTGGAAAAGATGACATATCCTTTTGGATGCCTCAGGCTCCACCTGGTTTTGTGTCCTTAGGATGTGTTGCTTGCAAGGGTACGCCAAAGCTATCTGATTTCAGCTCTCTAAGATGTATCCGCAGTGATATGGTCACTGCAGGTCAATTTTTAGAGGAAAGTATATGGGACACATCTGATTCCACGTTTTCTAAGGAACCATTTAGTATATGGACAGTTGACAATGACTTGGGAACCTTTATTATCCGCAGTGGTTTGAAGAAACCTCCGAAAAGGTTTGCTTTGAAACTTGTTGATTCAGACATACCAAGTGGCTCAGACAATACTGTGATTGATGCTGAAATAAGAACATTTTCTGCAGCACTTTTTGACGACTATGGCGGCTTGGTAATTATACCTGCTTCTTTTTCATTGTGAAACTTCTATTTACCTAATTGTTTTAGAAATTCTGCTTTGTTTCGAGTCCACTGCTGTTTATTGTGGAGAGAGGGTGTGCAACTTCCGTTAAAATGCTATGGAATATTAATCAATGCGAAAATTCCAGTCTCAGAGACTTCGTAAGAAAGTCATTTCAAAGTGGGTAACTTCTCTTGAAATTGAAGTGCAAGAAGAATGAGAAAATGTAGCAATGGTTTAAACTATTTGCTTTGTCAAACCAATTGCATTCTGCAAAGAATTCTTAACTGGTCTGACATCTTTGTAGCTGGACCATATTTGTGAAACTGTAAATCAAAGCGTGTAATAAATTCACCCATAGCTTTACTTCCTATAGCTTGCTAAGCAGAGTAGTTCATCAAATCCTGCTAATGTATCTCTCTAATTAAATTGATAGAATTGCAGAGTAGCTGTAATAGGTTTACACATTTGCTTGGGGGGTAAGATTCCTGAGTTAGAATGGGAGAAGATGATGTTTTGTGTTGAACCACTCTATCTAAAAACTTAATGCGTGTGAGTTGAGAGACTCGAGATGAGGAAAACTGGAATTTATTTTCTCTTACTTTGTATTACAACCGAGTGCTATCGTTAATAGTATGAGGGGATAAGATAAGGAAATATAAATATTCTCAAATCCTACCTAATCTCAAGAATCATACCTAATTACAATAATTACAATTTTCCTAAATACGACAATTAATTA